GGGAAAGAGCTCACCAGCAGCAGCGCTTTCTCGGCCTCCCCTTCCCTGTCCCTCCCTGTCCTCACAGCCCTCCCAGGGGAGCCTGTGTTCTCCCCTGCAGCCACCTCCCCTCTGGCTTTCTTGGGAAGCAAGGCTGTAACTGGCGGTTACCCAGTTACAACACGAGCCCCCACCTTCTGGCTCGGGGACCCATCTCATTCCTGAACCTCAGTGAGGAGGGGGCTTTGCTTATTCCACCTGCCGCCTCAGTTACCCTCCAGACACATCTATAAGACGCTGCATCCCAGGGAGCCAGGCCGCCGGGCCAGAAGGTGGCCTCTGTGAGGTCCCAGGCCCACGTCTGGAGACCTCCCTGGTGCCCAGGGCTCGTGTTTGGCCACGATGCAGAGCTGCTGCGGCTGGGGTGGCTGAGAGTCGGGACCCTGTAGGGAGTGTTGTCTCTCTCTCCCCTTCTCTCTTGCTCGCTTGCTCATGGAAAAATTAAGCAATTTTTTTTTTTTAAAAAAACTAGGATTTCTCACAAAAGAAGAGAAAAAGATATGACATCCCAATTTTTCAAATGAGAGAGAGGCTGAACACCCCCAGAGGTACATGACTAGAACAAGGGGTAAGATTTGAACTCATCTCTGTTTGTCTACAAAGCCCTGGTATTTCAGGCTGCTGTGTTTCAGGTCAGCCAGGAGGATACCGAGAAGCCCTCCCTCATCTGCTCGCTGAGGGCCCAGCAGTGCCAGTCAGCTCTAGGGCCCGGACTGCCTGGGGGCTCACGGCACAAGGAGTTCTGTCTGCTCAGAGGTACTCTCTTTTTCTTTCTTTCTTTCTTTCTTTCTTTCTTTCTTTCTTTCCTTTCTTCTTCCTTCCTTCCTCTTTCTCCTTCCTTCCTTTCTCTTTCTTTTTTCTCTTTCTTTCTTCTTTTTGAGAGATTTTTGCTATAGGCTGCATGTAGTCACTGGGGATACAGAGAGAAAGTGAGAAATCACCCCCGGGAGGGGATGGCTACACAGCAATCCCTTTTCCTCCATTTTCCTCTCGGGATTCTGGGCACCCACGCACATGCACCCAGCCACTGAGTCTGGGACTTGAACAGTGGACAACTACATGGGAGTCCAGTGCCCTAACCACTACACCACCTGCTGGCCCCCTTTGTTTAATTGTTTTAAGTCTCCTCTTTAACCGTGTTCAGAAACAGAGTGGATATATCCTGTGTTTCACTCAGTCTGTCATTCGGAATTCTCCAGGCTCGGGCTCTTCAGAGAGCAAAAAGTGTCAATGTTTGCTCTCTGAAAAAAATGTCAAAAAGTGTCAACCTTCTTACAAGGAGCGTAAGGCTCCTGAGGGCACCAGCCTTGGGCAGCCCCGGGCCCCTACAGCACCAGCCTCGGGCTCGTGTGTGTCCCTGGTACAGTCAACGCACTGTCAAGCCCTTCGTGTGATGTTGCTGACAGCAGTAAGTCCAGGGCGCTGGGCTCCCCACTAAGACTTCTATGCCAGAGCCCTGCTGCTCAGTCACAAGGCGCCCGTCAGTTCCTGGAGGGTAGGAGGAAGGGCTCAGGTGGGAGCCACACTGGAAGTTAGCAGATTTCTGTTCCGATGGCCTGAAATATGTGACTCTCCTGTTCCAGCTCCCAGTGCCATGAAGCTCAGAAGCAAAAAGGATTTTCTAACCACAGGGGAGGAAGATTTTCTCTTTTGCAGATTCATAGCATTTCAGAAGGGAAAAAAAAAAGAGTAAGAAAAGTCTTCTCCTTTCTCCTGGAAACGTTCTTTCTTTTTCTATCCTAGGTTGCACGCTCCAAGTCTCCTGGGTGATTTCTGGGATTCAGTGGGGACCGGTGTCATGCACTCCACTCTTCTAGCAGACACTCAAGACACACTGCTGCTGTTTGTGGTGCACTGCGTCTCCGAGAGCTGAGGTTGTGTCATGGCATCTACTCTGACACACTGATTGGGTCAGCGGTGGGCCTGTGACACCTTAAGACTCAGGAAGGTCTCTCCGGGAACATCCGGGAGAGGGCTTTTGCTCTTCCTCACTGGATTCACTCTGAGAGGATGACCGGCTGGGGGTCTGGGAG